CCCCCCCCCCCCCCCCCCCATTTCCCATTTTCCCTCCTTTCTTGGAACAATGGCGGCTTGAAGGGGGGTTGTCTTCAATCTTGCTCACCCCGACTGCTGTTAAAAGTGACCTCAACCTATACCCGGACTCTAACTGAAATTTGGGTTCTCTCCTCTCATCCAAATTGTTCATCTCGAGCTTGAACAAAGTTCTAAGTTATACTTGAAATTAGGCTTGAAGAATCAACGTGATTGTCACGAGCAGAACAAATCTGATGACGGTCTTGCTTCTTAGGTGTTGAAAGATGTACAAATTAGTTGAAATTTTGGGAGCTGGTCAGTCTGTAGTTAAAACATTCTTATGTGTTTATGTTCCTTTGTCATTTGTATCTGGGACAGGAACTATTCGAATGTCTCTAGTTGTAATATTTGGCTGATATGACAAGACGACTTGAGAAATTACAGCACTTTTGTTTCATTATTTCAGTTTTAGACTCGTTTTATTTGCTTCTTTTTGCCATCGATCCACTCTCAGATCTAAAATACTGAATACTTCGTCTTGTTAAGACCTTTAGAATCTTTTCGATAAGTTAATGACTTGTTTAATAGAGTGGACGTGACCGTGACATGGGAATTGATAGCATCCAACATATTATTATAAGAAAGGAAAAGAGAAAAAAAAATTGGGTGTTCATGTTCAATAATCAGTAGTGTACTAAATCTACAATATTTCATGAAGGCCCCACAAGAACTTTTGCCTAATCATATTCCTATGTTATCATTCCTTTGAATTCGACAAACCCCACTTTTGAGTTGGGTGCACTTGTTTACCTTCACAATTATAAAGGAGAAATTTGAATTCTTTGCATTCGCACTCATGATAAGATCACAATTAAAATTAAGGAAGTTATTCATAACGTTAATGTCAACTTACAATTTTACTCTCAACTTATTTTACGAAAATGTATGTTCCTCTAATAGAAAATAAATTTATAATTATTTTGAACAAAAAACAATTAAGATACAAGGACCATTAATATACGCTCATAGATACCAGAAAACGCAAGCTTTACAGTTTTAGATAATGAATCAGTGGTCCCCTAATGAGAGGATAACATTACTCACAAATTTATCTGAACTTACCTTAGCATTTAAAATAAGTAAGTTGGTTGTTAACCTTTCGTTATAGCACAATCAATCTCTATCAACAAAAATCATTCTAGACCTAATTGAAGTGTTGCATGGCCTTCATGTGTCTATTGTTACTATGCCAGATTTTTATTTTTTATTTTTTTTCAATTTGAACTAATATATAGAATTTTGAAGTGAGATATGTTCTAGGGTCCTGTGATAATTTAATGAAATTTTAAATTATGTATATAATGTTGAAAACTGCATATGCAGCTATAGAGAAGGTTGTAAATGAATTTACTTATTTCTAAAAGTTGGGGACTAACTTTTTTTTTCCCCCAGATAATATACTAAGACTTATAGTGCAATTTTTCTCAACTAAAAAGAGTTCCCACCCCACCCCCTTTTCGAAACCAATGCTATAAAAAGTAATTTGAATAGTGCTATTCATAGTGAAAGCTACTGGTAATTGTCCTACGTGACATACACATGACCGTTTGTTATTTGCATGCATTTCGGGTATCTAAATTAATTTCAATTGTTTCAAACAACTAAATAGAAAATTAAATTATTTAATTACATATATAAATAACCAAAAATCAATATTTTTAATATATACATAGGTGAAACATCAACAATTGTGAATTTTGATAGTTATTGAAGCATTTAGACAAATCATATGATAAATTTTCACGGCTCATTTTATCGAATAAAATTGTATAACAATATACATTATTAAGGAATATCGTTTTTTTTATTGGCTATACACGTATTTGGGACACATTTTGTAAGGTTATTGAAAAGTTAAAAGCTGTTTCTGAAATTTAAAAATTGTATAACAATATACATTATTGAGGAATATCGGTTTTTTGATTGGCTATACACGTATTTGGGATCCATTTTGTAAGGTTTTTGAAAAGTTAAAAACTGTTTCTGAAATTTAAAAGTTGTTTTTAAACTTGTTTTGATAACTTTTTGGAAAGTGGAAATTACATAAAAAGAGGTGTTTAAAGATCCATGTTTATAAATCAGCTTTTGAAGTTATTTATTCAATTTTCAGGTTTTTACCATTTTAATTAAATAATAAATCTTTTAAATAATAAAATAATTCATTTTAACACTTATCTTTCCCCTCTCTCAACTCCCTCTCTCTATCCTCTCTCCAATTTTATTCGAACCCTAAATCAAGATTGCCCAAGGTGGTGGTAGCGGCGTGCAGGTGATGGTGGCGGTCACAAAGGTGGTGGTCGTGTAGGCGATGGTTGAGTTGATTTTGGGTTGTTGGTTTGCAAATGGTGGCAGTCGCAAATGTGGTGGTGTGCAGAAGATGGTGGCTCTACGCCTTGCAGAGGTGCAGCAGTTGCGATCTGTTCCAGGGAAGCATCGGAGCCTCTACAAGCGGAGGTGCAGTTGCTACGCAGCGCCCTACGACGATCTGTACTTTCCAGCTGAGTCTGTCATAGATTGTCGACAATCTGAAATTTTTATAGCAGCTCTGAGGTGCATCAACTGAGTTAGATAAAATAGAAACAGCTATAGCAGTGTGCGGCAATTTGTTTTGTTGGATCGACGGAGAATCTGGTGGTAGTGAAGTGGTGGTGTGGTTTATGAGGCGATGATGGTGGAGTGGAGGTGGTTGTGGCGGAGGCGAAGGTGGAGGTGGAGGTGGAGGCGAAGGTGGGTTGTGGGCGAGTTTCTATTGGAGATGTTTGACATTTGTGACCTATAGAATAGGTAATATGCAAGTGATTGGTGGTGGAGGTGGTTGTCAGTGGCTTTATAAGTACCGTTGTGGAGGTGGCGGCGTGGTGAGGGTGGTCGAAAGTGGCCATAGTGGTAGTGGCGGTNTGTGACCTCGAAATAATCTGTTATCATTTAATTTTAAAATATGTGACATGTGACCTATAATTATGTATATGTGATCATTAATTATATAACGATGATCTTATTATATTTAATGAATAGATATTTTTAATTAATTAACTAAAAATCTAATTTTTACATTAGTCAAATTTAAAATCTGAATTTTGAATTGTGTATAGTTAATACTTTACTTTTGAACTCTTTCCTTTTTGAAATATTCATCTTACTAAAAGAGATTTTAGAAGAAGTTGACTTAATAATCCATTTGAAATGACATTTGGGAAGTCGAAAAAAGTTTTTGAAACCAAAAAATTGTTTTTGCGCTCATATGATAAGTTTTATAAAAGTGCTTATTTTAGTTAGAAAAACTTTTAGAAATTAAATTTTAAACATCAATTATTTTTAAGAGGGGGAGTAGAGTAGAGTAGAGGAGAGTCCGTTGAAAGAGGCGGCCATTTTGGTTAAGGTTTGGTGGAGAATGAATTACTCAACTAACCTCAAAAGAATTTTATTGAGTTTTGAAGGAGTCTTGGACTCTTACGGGGTCCACGTGCACTTTTCTTTCTCCTCCCTCTGTCCCTTTGCGCTTGCCTTGCCCTTTCACTTCCATTTATTTCTACGCGCATCCTTTTTCTGCGTCCTTCAGACGTCTACAACATGCTTTTTACCTTCAAGAAGCACGTGCATCAAATTTGATATTATCACGAGATTGAAATTTTTTATACATTAATTTTAATAACATTTTAAATAATTAATTTTACAACTTTGACACACCACAGTGTCAAAGTTCAGTGAGCAGTGTATAGCATGTTGAAGTTTAGTGAACAGTCCGTGACCACAGTGTAAGTTGAGTGATTTTTGAAACAATTCACTCCAACATATTCCCATTCCACAATATTATCGAATTTCTTTAAAAGCATGAGATTTATATATAAATCAATTAACACATAATCAATAGAATTTGTCGCACATCCATAAACACGTGACTATTCAGTCGAACAACGCGCCTTGAGAGGCGCGTGTCCACACACATTCTCTTTCTGGTATGCGTTCAGCGGAACGCCACAAAACTCCCGCGTCCATGCAAAATCCGCCCATAAGGAAAACACACACAGAGTCTTGAATGAATTTCAAATTCCAATTTTATCCTCATCTTCTATCCATAATTCCCTTTTCCTTTTTTGCCAAATTCTCCTTATAATCGTATCCTCTTTTTCTCTCTCTTTCTATTCTCAGTATCTATTTACTCTCAGATTCATTGATTACCATCTCATTTTGGTTACCTTCTCTCTCTAAACCTTCAGTTTCTTTACAGACATACACGCATATTTACATACATATAGTTATATAAACACACACACATATATATACAGATAATAAATATACTAATTTGTTGTGCGAAGACATGGAAGTAGAATTGATGGTACCGGCGACTCCGGCGTCGCTGTACGTGGGGGACCTGCAGCAGGATGTGACGGATGGGCAGTTGTTTGATGCATTTTCGGAGTTTAAGAGTCTGGCATCCGTACGCGTCTGCCGTGACTCCTCCACCGGCCGCTCTCTCTGTTATGGCTACGTCAACTTCATCTCCCCACAAGATGGTACTATTTTGTCTACGTGCATTGTATTTTTATTTATCTATCTGTATAAGCGTGAGTCGAAGTGTGTGGGGGGAGGGAGGAGTCGATCGGAGTGATTTTGTGTTGTGATAAGTTTTTGCGATCGAATTTTCCTTCAATTCGTTAATTTTAATCTCTGCTAAAATTCGATGGGAGTTTTTGTTTGAATTGGCCGGATTGGGCATTTTCATAAAACTAAATTGATAAATGGATAAAAAAATTTGGTCTAGGAATATTGCAGATCGCCACACATATGCACATTGATGCATGCACATTTTTTGCAGGCCTTTATGGGCATATGAGCATTTCGTATATCTTGATCATGATTTACTGATGAATTGCTTCAGTTTATTTGTGAAGTTTGAAAATTCAGAATTGAACTGATTTGTTGATTTCCCCCTTTTTAATGTTCGAAGAAGAAAAGGCCTCGTGTAAGTGATTTCATTTTGCAAGTGGAAAGAGAGTTGTCTTCAATTTATTATTTACTCAAAATCATGGTGTATCTATGAGATTTGCGTGCATGGGTTATCTTTGTGTGAGAGCATATCGACTGGGTCATCCCACCTGTACTGGCTTAACAGAGGTTTGAATTTTAACATTGTTTCACGGGCTTGCATTTTAATGTAATTGATCATATTGCTTAGTGAATGCCTTCGTTAATCCAGTCAGTTATTAACTTTTCAGTGCTATATAGATTCGAGGGAGATGACATCTAGCCTGCTACATATAATAATTGATCTTTTTTGTGAGGCTTATAATTTTGCAGTCATGATTTTGATTCGCCAGTTTGACATTGAGAATGGTATGGTCTTTTCTAAATAGAATTACTATACTAACTCTTTCCCATTTTCTTTGAGTAGCTCTCCACGCTATTGAAGTGAAAAATCATTCTACCTTGAATGGGAAAGTGATAAGGGTTATGTGGTCGCATCGTGATCCAGATGCAAGAAGAAGTGGGATTGGGAATGTGTTTGTCAAGGTATATTGTTGTTCTAATGCACAAATATTGTTGGTTTAATGCGAATTATTTTTATTTCTTCTGCGATTCACTTATTTGATAATATTGAAATGGTTCACACCATTGTCTGCAGAATTTAAGTGACTCTATTGATAGTGTGAATGTTCAAGAAATGTTTCAGAAGTTTGGTAATGTATTATCTTGTAAAGTTGTCACATCTGATGATGGCAAAAGCAAAGGATATGGCTTTGTCCAGCTTGAGAGTGAAAACTCTGCAAATGCAGCCATTGAGAACCTTAATGGGTCCATCGTTGGAGACAAACAGATGTAAATTCTATTTCCCTTGCCTTTACCCTCTGGCATGTGTATTTATATATGAAAGTTTTTGATAGTGTGCTTGATGATTTTCTTATCCCCAATAAATGTTTTGCTTATAATCCAACATTTTGCTTGCACAGTTATGTCGGCAAGTTTGTGAAGAAGAGTGACAGGACTGTAACCAATCCTGAAGCAAAGTACACAAATCTTTACATGAAGAATTTGGATCCAGATGTCACCGAAGAAATCCTTTTGGGGAAGTTCTCTGCATATGGAAAAATTATAAGCTTAGCCATCTTAAAAGATGAGAATGGAGCATCAAGAGGCTTTGGATTTGTCAACTTCGAGAACCCGGATGATGCCAAACTTGCATTGGAAGCTTTCCATGGAACACAACTTGGTATGGTCATGAATTTCTACTGATCTTTATTGTATGATGAAGTTGTCAAATCTGCTGCTATTTGAAACTCTTTTCTCATCATGTTGTTTGTGCTGAGTAGGCTCAAAGGTTTTATATGTGGCCCGGGCACAAAAGAAGAAAGAACGAGAAGAAATGCTACGTTGTCAGTTTGAGGAGAAAAGGAGGGAGAAAATCTTGAAATACCAGGTTCTCAGGAGTAATTTCGTTCTTTGAAGACTTGTAAAAATGTTTATATCGTCTACATGTTTATAATTTTCTTACAACCTTCAAATTTCAGGCTTCAAATGTGTATGTGAAGAACATTGATGATGACGTAACTGATGATGAGCTACGGGACCACTTTAGTCAGTGTGGTACAATTACTTCTGCGAAGCTTATGCGAGATGATAAAGGAATGAGCAAGGGGTTTGGATTTGTTTGTTTCTCCATGCCTGAGGAGGCGATTAAAGCAGTGAACACATTTCATGGTGCGTATGTTTACTGAGTCAAGATTGAATGGAAAATAATTGTAGCAAGGCATCTAAAGATAGGCATGTGACTATGTACATACATTTTGGTTCCAGAGATTCAGGCAGCATATTTTGTTTATTCTGCTTGATTTATATATAATTTAGTTTAATTAAACAGACAATTAGACTATCGTACGAACTTTTCCTCATCATGATGCAAATACGCAACTGTTGTGGCATGAGGAACTAACGAAGGTTGATCTCATTGCTCACCAATATATGGTGGTCATGACATTTCAAAGCTGGTTCCTTTATGCTGCTATTGTGACCGTGGATCACACCTCTATGTGCAATTTATTTTGCTTAAATGCTATTATCGAGAGACCATAAAGGTGTTGCTATTTTACCATTTTATAATCTCAGGTAAAATGGCATATTATACCCATTTTCATACATTCAAATATTTGGAGGAGTGTGAGTATCATTTGGAGCCTAGTTATTAATTTTCACCTTGATGCACACTAGATCCTCTTTGATCAAAAAATTATAGTTTGCATCCTTCAGTGTATGAGACTGTTTAAATAATAGTAGAGGCTCAAAACCCAAACCTGGGTCATATTCCTGTTGGCCACTCTCCTCTCACCTGCCCTCTGTGGTTAATCTCTTCTAAATTCGATAGCATCAGGTGTAGGATCTGGTTTATGTTAGGTATTTTATAGACATATAAATTGATCTCTTGGGCAAAAATCGTCAACAGATACCATGAGAATTTCTAAAACTTCTACTGATTTCTTTGAAAACCTGAGGCTATTTTGTCCAAAATTTTGGAAGTTTCTCTTTGGTGCGCATGTGGGTACCAAGTTTTTGAGGCGCATGTTTTATTCTCTATCATGGTATGCATGCTGTTATATTTTCTCGAACCCTGTGTAGAAATTGGTTGCACTAGGTGGAAAGCTAGTTGAACAATCATTTGCATAGCAATTGCAAATGGCCTCGTAGAATCTTTCCTTTTAATTTCCTTTTGCTTTAAATGCTGGATAGTAGTGTGTCATTTTCCTAGTCTCAGCAAATACCATTGGAAATCTCTTAGGTCTATGTTGCCTACAGTTGATGTTGAACCTCTAGTAAACAATCATTTCTTATCTTTTTCCCATAGGAAGATTCTTGATTTCATTTAGTTTTCTAGTGCTAAAAATTCAGTACTCGGAACAGTTATGTATCGTGATGCTGAAGTATTGTCCATGGATGTTTACAGGTTTCATGTTGCATCGGAAGCCATTGTATGCAGCTATTGCTCAGAGGAAAGAACAGAGACAAGCTCAGCTACAACTACAATATGCGCACCGTATTGCAGGGTTGGTAGGACCTTCGGCTGTTATTCCTGGCGGTTATCCTACTCTTTACTACCCGTCTTCTGGTGTTGTTTCACAAGTTCCTGCACAACCTGGTTTGATGTATCAACCTCTGGGGATGAGACCAGGATGGAGGGCAAATGGCTTTGCAGATCCTTCCAGGCCTGCTTTTCAAACATCTCCAGTTCCCTTGGTTAGTTGTAGTAAAAGATCTTGTTTAGCACTAAAGTCTTATAAACTGCATTTCCGATGAATGCTAGTCTTCTGCTATTGTCTATGTAGTCTCAAATGTTTATTTTCTTCCTTTTTCCTCATTTTTACAGATTTCTAATAATCCAAGACCTAATAGACAAAACAGGGGTAGGATGAATGGGCATGTGCTACCTGGCGTTCCCACATATCCTTCAAGTTTGCAACAACCAACCCAATCTATGGTATTACCAAAAGATTCAAGCAAGCACCAGGTTTATTTATACTTTTATTTTGACTTATATACCATATGTCCATAATTTATCACTGATTTTTAGACTTTATGCTATTGATATTCCATGTATTGTTCCTTGCTTATGTGTGGGGAAAATATATGCTATAGTCAAGTGCTTATACCAATCCTTCCATCTTTCAATGTCTTTCACATGAATTGATAGTAGAGGAATGACATTGAAATAAGGAACATCTTTTACCTGCTAGGCCTATCATTTTTTTTATTTTTTTTTTCTGTTGATAGGAAGGCAATTGCATTGGGAAAAAAAAAAACCTCTACTCCACTGCCAGGATTTTCCACATTAGGCGTCTAGGATGCTCAGTCTGAAAATTTGTATGGAGTTTGTTTACATTACATATTCCTTCTTTTTTTAGAAAACACCAGCTTCAACATCACAATAATAGGGTAATACTTCCTGGAAGAAAACGGCTGGTGAGTGACTTTATGCTATGTGTGTTGCTGCAAAATTTTACCTGAACTTCATTAAGAACAAGAAACGAGAATATTTCACCATTTCGTTATTATGTTTAAGGGAGAAGGGGGCACCAAATAAAGCATATTGGATTTTGTGCAGACTTTGAACAACCTTTTCATATTTCAATGATATCTACCTAGGCTTGAATTAATTCTGTTTGGATGAAAAAATGTTCTCAAATACCTGCTCATTTTGTGAATTATGTCCCACTTAGAAAAAGAATTAAGCTTCTTTGCCAGAAAAAAATGATACATTTATTGACAGATACTCACATGAGAGTGGGACCCATGTCGGACCCACGTGATTAAAAAAAGGCCAAAAAAGTGCTTCCCTCCCCTATTGTGAGTATAAAGTTAGGGAGGGCGTGCAAAATTCTTAATATAGATACATTTGGTACTTTGATGATTTATTTATAAGATAATTGCAGCAGTGGTACCAAATTCTTCATTTAGTTGCAGACTTTACTCAAACCTTTCATTGTGCCACCCATGGTACCAATTCTTTCAAAAATTAGCACATGGGGTCCAAATGAATGATTTCTAGTTGATTGATAATTGACCTTAACAATAATTTTGACTAATTTTAAAAGGTTAAAATGGTAATTTTATATTTTTTTTATAGTAAAATAACTAAAATCAAATAATTAAAATTCAAAACCAAAAACCAACTTCTTCTTCTCCATCTCCTCCACCGCCACCTTCATTCCGAGCACCCAATAAGGTTGACGAAATGCCGGGTAAACTCCTCAGATAATTTGTCCTAGTGCACGAGGGATAATAATTCGAAATATGGAGAGGAGTCGAGTCTCCCAGCCCATAAAAGACAAGTCATGAGCTTTTGAATTTCAGCCATATGATTGGAAGCATAAGGAGCGAAAAATGTTCTAGCATACTTCAGAGCTTCATCTCTGCTATTTTTCTGCAAGATCTCCATAGGTGATGAAACTTCAGTTCAATGTCAGATCTACTTTGTATAAGTTGTTCCTTGTTGGTGGAAGCCCAATTTAGAGCAGGCTCCAAGTTATGTGATACATTTCTAAGAAAGGAGATGACAGGAAAAATTTGTTGGATGATGGGAATAAAGGTGGCGGTAAAGGAGATTGTAACGACCCGGCCTCTCACCGGAGTCGTTATCTTACGTACTGTCCGCTATGGGGTGGGATTCTGCCCACTTATCCCCTCACGGCTTTCTGACGCGTCCCCCAAGATTCGAACCCAAGACCTCCATCATATGGGGGAATTAAATTGAATCCTGGTACCGATTGGACAATTTTTTTTGTAACGACCCGACCTCTCACCGGAGCCGTTATCTTACGTATTGTCCGCTCTAGGGTGGGCTTCTGCCCATTTATCCCCTCACGGCTTTCTGACGCGTCCCTCAGGATTCGAACCCAAGACCCATATGGGAGACTTAAGTTGAATCTTGGTACCAATTGAGGGGTCTTGGGTTCGAATCTTGGGGGACGCGTCACTGCGTCAGAAAGCCGTGAGGGGATAAGTGGGCAGAAGCCCACCCCATAGCGGACAGTACGTAAGATAACGACTCCGGTGAGAGGCCGGGTCGTTACAGAGATGGCAGTGGCGCCGACATTGGGTGGGTGCGATTGAGCCGTCTGATAGTGGTGGTGATAGTTTTGGGGTGGGGGTGTGTGGGGTGGCTGGAAAAGAAGAAGTTGGTTTTTAATTTTAATTATTTGATTTGATTTAGTTTATTATTAAAAAATGTAAAGTTACAATTTTAACCTTTTAAAATTAGTCAAACTTATTGTTAAGGTCAATTATCTGATTAACTAACGGTCAAATTAACAGAAATTAAGCATTTCGACCCCATTTGCTAATTTTTGAAAGGTTTGGTATCGTGGGTGGCACAAATGAAAGGTTTGGATAAAGTCTGCTACTAAATAAAAGGCTTGGTATCGATGTTGCAATTATCCCTTTATTTATTGTTCAACTCACACTAGAGTTCCTAAGCTTCAAAATGTAGTGTTTATGCAACTTATAACAGTATAAAAATTGTGTAAGCATTTTTCAGCATGCTGGGCATGTCAATTATGTTCCAAATGGGCGTTCACATGAGATGAGCAAAGGATCTCCTGTTCCCATTGCTGATGGATCTGGTGCTGAGGGATCAGAGATGTTAAGTAGCCAGCTTGCTGCAGCTCCTCCAGAGCAGCAAAAACAGATGCTTGGAGAGCGTCTATATCCCCTCGTCAGTCAACATAAGGTAAAATCTTCTCTCCATAATATTCTTTTCATTTTCTACTGCTATATTTGGATGTACGGATTTTCTATAATTTTTGGTCCTTTTGTTTGATTCAAATATATGTTTGTATATATTATGGATCTCATAGATTGGTTAGAACCTTGCAATAATAGCTTTTTCTGATCATGTTTGTTTGCATGAAAATAAATGATTATTACTGAAAACAGTGCTTGGAAGAAATCAATTGAGGGGTTCATGATAATTCTTTAGATGGCTCCATCATGTTTCGTTGCATGAATAAATGATTTTNCCCCCCCCCCCCCCCCCCCACCCAAAAGATAAAAACATAAAAAAATGAAGAGGTCATCGTAGGTTGTTAGGCCAACTTTATCTAACTTGCAGCACGAAAAAGGAAGATGAAATGGAGGGGTTTTCTAAAATTTCTAATCTTGCTTCAAAGGTTGTGCTAATGGAATTTCTATGCAAATTCGTAATACTTGCAGCCTGATCTTGCTGCAAAGATAACGGGTATGCTTTTGGAGATGGACAATTCAGAACTACTACTATTATTAGAGTCACCGGAATCACTAGCTGCCAAGGTGGAAGAAGCAGTTCAGGTTCTCGAGCTCTCAAATGCCAAATTGTCAAGCCAAGATGCAATTCATTCAAATTACCTTTCTGCCCAAGTTGCAGTCATCTGAGAGGAAAGTGATAAAATTGCAAGTACTGGTATTTGAAGATACATGAGCAAAGTTACTTTGAAAGTCATTGCTAGCCTAGAAATACTGTCTTCTTCATCTAGTTACCTTTTCAACTTTTTGATGAGTCCTTGCTTAGTTATTTATCAACGATGGAGTTGCAGTTGTTATAGACTTATGCCTATGAGAATTTAATTTTTATGACACTAAGCCTTCGAGTATCTTATGAGAATTTAAATCTCATGACCCCAACCCAATTGAATGTAGTGTGAAAAAAAATTCTAAATTGTAATGAGTAGTATGATATCAATTCACAAAAACATAACATGTCCTGTGCATCAGTAACTTGAAAGTAACTTAGCGGATGGCATGAAAATTATCCTAGTATTAGCATGACCTTGTGAATTTCCACTCTTAGGAGTTGACCAATTCAATTATCCTTCAACGACTTTCACAGGAGACCTGCACAAAGAAAATGATGTTAGCATAAAAGGTAATGTCATACTAGAAATGAACTGCAGTTTTGTACAGAAAGACCAACAATGTTCTCAGGATCGAAAACATACCCAAATGGACTTTGTTTGATGGCCAGTAGTTCGACGTCCAACTGCAGATTGAGATCAAGAGTTACGTAATGAACTTAGATCAGCTTGAGGGGATAAAATGAAGATAGAGAGAACTCATTAAGATAGTTAATTTTTTTTAGATAGGTGGTCCAAAGTCTTTTATCGTACTAGTAGAAATAACTTAAATAAACCATAACGTCAAAATAAGAAACCACGACTTATTACCTCAATTGTTGCATTCGGGGGAATTTCCTGTACACCTTTGCTACCATAAGCTAGCTCGGGAGGAACTATCAACAGCCGCTACAAAATATGAATTTTTCAGCTATGCTTTGTAACAAGCAAGAATAGATGAACCCTTGTAGCAGATTGCGGATTTACTTACTAACATTCAATGCAGAAAGTAACGAAGGCACATTCATGTCAGAGATTCATCTCACCTGTCCTCCTACTCGCATGCCTTTAACTCCCATGTCTAATCCTTTAAGAACATTACCCCTCTTCGACTCACCAACATCAAATCCATAAGGCTAGATCAACCGGAAAAAGGATGTAAATTAGGTAAACAACGGGCTAGCAAAAGTTTACCATTCAAAATTTTATGACAAATTACGCTAGATATATTGAATAGCTGAGTGAACAATAAAGTGCTATTCAAATTTTACCGTTCCACCACCAACACCAAGACCTTGTCTACTGGTCATAAAAGTGATTCCCTTCCACTTAGCGACATAATGGACCTAAATATAATTACCACAGTGACACGATTCAGTTTCTTGCACAGTAAATAATGCGTGGTTCAGAATAATCTCATAAGTTGGTCCATTTATATTACAGAAGACAACAGAGAGAATCAGCGTTGGAGAAATTATCAAAGTTAACGCCCACGTTACAAGTCTAGAATAAGAAAATCTTGTGTATTACCTACTACAGCGGATGAAGAGGTGTGTGCATTGCATATTGTGAAAACAAACAAAGTAATGTACATAGATATTAAAGCTTTTAACTTTGTACAGTCATACTGCAACCCGAGATCCCTCCACAGCTTCAGGTCCCCCGCCAACTTTCAAGTCATAATACCTGAAAAATTATACATTTTAAGAATGTTAAGCAACACCTTCTCTCTGGAGAAATGCACGAAACATGCATCGGTAACTAATTCTGTAGACGAACATGAGCAAATGAAATAAGAACTTGCAATTTTTGATTCTTAAGACTGTTATGCACTATAGACACTGGCAAACCATACAAATTTCAGATTATATAACAGGTTTAGGCCAAAAACAGAGCGAAGAACAGCATTATTGAATCTTAGTATCTTGAATTGGAAACTAGAATTAGGAAAAGCCAAACTTCTTTTAAGTAGACTAATTTAATTGGATATTTACAGGTTGAATAGGACAGACATATAGTGATGGACATCCCAAAATTGGAAAAGCAGATATTCGAGAATTGTTAGCATATACTAACTTTAGACCATTTGGGAGGGTTGTATATTCACTCTCGGGTACTTTGGCGCCCCTAAGCTGCAGCAAGCAAATAAACCCGGTGTGAAATCAAGAAAATCGAGGTATATAAGCAATATGTAATACGTTTAGACGTGAATGTGAATACTTTTGCGAGTAACTAAAGATGTATTAGATTTTGGGTTTGTGTAACGGATATCTTACAGCTCTTCTACTTGTGCTTGCAGCACCAGCTGCTCCACAGAAAGAAATTCCAGCTGCTGATTGATGGTACAAATGTAAATATGATAGTTAGTAACGAGTAAGTGATAGCGATTTGAATTGTAACTGAATTTCAAGAAATTTAATCACCCAATAGCATTATTTTGACACGAAAGGACAAAGGCATACAGATCAAATTGTCATCAAGGAATTCGAGAATTCGATATTTGATTCAATCCTAATCCTACTTTTGTAAGATCCCTTTTAAATAATCAACAAAAATCATCAAGAGAAACCAGAATATACAAAAGATTCTACGAAGTAAAAAATCCTATATTAATGAGGGAAAACTCTGAGATTAAATGTCGGAACCTGCAGCAAGAAGACAAGCCATGAATGCCCTCCTTCCCTCATTTTGCAAAGACATTTTCAGCACAGAAGCCTCTGAAGAAGAACAGCGGCATGGAAAGAATGATGCATCCTTGTTGTAGGTTCTCTTTCCTGCAGATGCAAAAACTATCTCTTTAATTTCCAAGAATCTTGGTCGTGTAAGGCGTAAAGACATTGCTTCCATATATAAATGGAGAGAGAGAGAGAGAGAGAGAGAGAGAGAGGACTCACTTGTAAAGAGGAGTGAGTGATGAAAGAGAGTGGGTTTTAGAGGATGGTGAAGAAGGAGAGAGAGTTCCATGACTTGCACAGATTTTCAGTTGCAACTTGCAATGGCGGTTGAGAAAGTGAATGTTTCTTGATTAGTGAGAGGGATAAAAGTACTATCAATTGCAGCCACATCTTGGCATATACATGCTTTATGGTCCAATAGTACGAGTGATAAAGATCTTCTAGTGATAAAGATCCTATAATAATCTCATCACTTGTAATGTACATCGTTGCGCCACAATCATCATTATAATCACCACTAATAACAAATTGTGTCACTTATCATACAATGTTATGTCGTCGTGGACGTTTCCACGAACCACTACAAAATCAATCTCCATCCACCTCATAAATCATGACAAAACTACTACTATCGTAACCATCCACACCTCCTAAATCACAACAACAAAAAAAATAAAAATAAATAAATAAATAAAATATTGTACAAGCAAATAGTACAATTTTTTCGATAGTTCAAGTTGACGTACTTCACTATCGGCAAGAACTCCCAAATCACATATGCTATCGGAGTCGATTATAGTTGGTGACAACATGGTGGTGGAAGGAGAAGATGGTAGTGACATTGAGTGCATATTTTGCAAAATAATATGGTGGTCGGTTATGGTGATCTCAGATGATGATAGAAATTTTGGGATTCTGTGTATAAATGGTGGCAGAAGCCAGGGGTGAAGAAGAAGAATAAGGAGGGAGGGAGGGAGGGAGAGAGAGAGAGAGGAGGATGCAATGAATCTCGATGGTTGGTTATCGTTTGGGAGCTTGATTTTGAGTGCAATGTCATTGGCGAAAGGCGATGTGTTGAGAGAAAATGATCTGGGGATGATGATAGCTAGTGCAATGGCAACGATGGTGGTGGTCATCATGGGAGATTTAGATACGGTGTTGGTGACGAAAAAGATCCGAGAATGGCTTGGATTGGAGAAATCAACTCGATTGGTAGTTAATAAGTGTATTTTGTACACTTATCTAGGTCATCAAATTAGAATATTTTATAATACTTTTGATAAATTATAACTTAATCTTGTGCATTTATTTTTTTAGGCAAAACTTAACGAATTGAAGAGAAATTGAAAGAAATGAACGAAAATCGACGAACATGATTATTTCCAAAGTTTTTGACTAAAAAAAGAAATTCATCGGGCCTTGCGCATGCCCGCAATGGGCCCATTTTTGGGCTCTTGAGACCAATTTCGTACCATGCGTAGACATGGGCTAAATTTTGACAGACGTGGACAACTTTTCTTATATAATACGATTTTTTGGGAACCCAAATTGGACACATTTCTTAATCTAATTCCACCACCTATAAGTACAAGAAGGCTAAACATCAAGAGATCTCTCTCTAACACGCGACATCATATTGTACAATCTATCAAGAAAGAAGACACAAAGTCACCATAAGTTGGAAATGAGAACAAATCTAACACATGGATTGCATCAAGAAACATTAAGAATTTGAAGAATCAAATCTTGCGATTGAGGTCAAGAACACGAAACAGATTTCACATCTCCTTGTATTTATGAATTTCAAGTGATGATTTTTCAATTCCTTGGTTATTTTATCTTCAGAAACATGCTACATTAGATTTCTTTTGTGTTGAGATGAAGATGTACATCATCATCATCATCATCATTATTTATTTTTAATTCAAAGACTAAATAATTTGGTTAATTTGGGTTGTTAATTGATCTTGTATGCTTTTTTGAATTATTTAATTACTCAATTACAAATTATGTAATTAATTGCTTGTTGTAGTGTTGAGATGCTCACTATAAGTTATAATACAGTAATTTCAACACAATCAAATGGAATAATATCTATGTAATAGAAGTTATGAATAATATGTATAGCGTGTGCAATCAAATGGATAATCGTGTAATTGAATGCGTTACTTTGTATATGAATTCGGATTAAGAATAAGATTATGTCATGTTTAGAATATGCTTAACTTACCTTCAAAGAGATAGTTAAATAAAATTGGATTATGGATTGTCATGAAGACACAAAACTCACTAAATTACATAAGTTGAGAATTGAAAATATGATATTAATACGTGGGTTCGAAACTCTAATAAATTCATTTATATATTT